CGTAGCTTACTTTTGTCACTCTGTCGAACTCCAGTATGTTTGTGAGGCAGGATTTTCCTTCCCTGAAGCCGTGTTGTTGTTATGTATGAGCTTATTCCTTTCTAGGTGCTTCACCACTCTTCTCCTGATAATCTTCTCTAAAACTTTACATGTTATAAATGACAGTGACACTGGTCTGTAATTTAGTGTAGCCTGTCTGTCTCTTGTCTGTCTCCTTTCTTAAAAGTCTGGACTACATTTGCTGTCTTCCACACCTCAGACAGTTGCTCTGTTTCGATAGCTTTATTGAAGATTGTTGTTAGCGGCACACAGAGTGCATCTGCTCCCTCTCTCAGGACTCAAGGAGAGAGATTATCTGGGCTCACTGCCTTTGAGGTATCTAATTCATCTAGCCTCGGTTGTGTGCAGTGTGTCCATTGCATGCTGATGCACCCTACCACCTCGGTTTGCTGGAAGCCTCTCTGTCTCCAGTGTGAATACCTCGCTGAATCATAAGCTGAGCTCCTCATGTACTTCCTTGTCATTCCCAGTGAACTCTCCTCCTTCCTACCTCAACCTGATTACCTGGTTCTTGACTGTTGTTTTCCTCCTGATGTGGCTGTATAACAACTTTGGGTCAGATCTGGTTTTTGATGCTATGTCACTCTTTCTGATGCTGGGCATCTCTCCTTATCAAAGCATATTCATTTCTGGCTCTTCGGCTCAGCTGTCAGCATAGTTGCTGATCCCCTACATATGTTGTATGTTATCTGAGTGTCATAGTTAGTACCATCCATATGTTTTATATAAACGACCCATTGCTAGACTTAGCGGCTAGCATGTGTGATGTCACCTGATGCTGCATGTGAGCGTCAGACGCGCTGTCCCTGTCTCAGTCCACGGATAGACCTACAGTCGGTTACAGGCAGGCTGGGCTCCCCTCTCACACTCTGCTAATGTAAGTGTTACCACCCAACAAGTGTGTTTATCTCCAACCATCATATCTCCACGGAACCCTCTCAACAAATGGTGCCAGCAGTGAGCACGTAAATTTGATATTTACGCAGATGTATGGAGATTAACTTCTATCAGCCGATGGACCTTGTGTGTGACTGCATGGCGGCCTAGCTAAACAGCCAGCTGCCCCGACCAAGCACTCACCAGCTTCTCTGCACTACTTTCTGGCTAGTCCTTGTGCTTTCTCTGCTTATTTGCATTACTTCAGAGGAGTTGACCTGGGTTTGCAAATTAAGCCAAACTGCCAAGCCAGTCTGTGGGGGGGGAGACAAGCTCTAAGCCACCCAGCCTGACCCAGTCCTAGCCTAGCCTGTTAGCCAGCTTTCCATCCATTACTACAAGTTCTCAAGCCAGCCTGTGTGAAGGGCTTAAGTCAGCCAGCCAATCAAGCCAACCAACTAACCCAGGTGGCTAACCCTCAGTACTCAAGCAAGCCACATGAGTTCCAGCCTTCACCATTGCTTTGTGTTCCCAGTTCCAAGCCATCCTGAGTGCTTATACCATCCCTGTAGTGTTGTGGTATTTTGTGGGTTTTTAAGCCAGCCTGGCTTAGAATATTCTCGTGCCTAGTGTGGGTGTACCCAGAGTGCATGGGTTACCCAGTCTACCCAGTCGGCCTAGTCACTCAGACAGTGTCCCAGCGCACTGCCTTCACCCACTCCTACCCACCACCATTGTTTTTCACTCTTATATTGGGGCTTAGCACCTTATTTTACGGACCGCATAGGGGGTCAAGATGCAAGATTGTTCCGTCGTCCCTGAGCGCCAACGTAAAAGCCTCCTATGTGTGTCTATCATCGATATAAGCACAAAATTCTTCGAGAAATTGCCGAGTGGAGATCGCTGCCAGCCCACAAGACTCAACCACCACCACCTCCACCACCTCCACCACCTCCACCACCTCCACCACCTCTACCACCACCCTGCCTTCGCCTCTCCACCATCAACTTGTAGAGACATTTGCGAGTGTTGAGACATTTTTTCACTGATTTCTTAGTGACATTCAGTGACTTTTGATTAGACTCAGTGTTCATTACATTCTGTTTGAAATATTTCTTCTTTCTTAGTTTAATTTTTTGTGCTTTATTTTTATATCTGTTATGTTGTGTTTCTTTTTTTATATACTTGTTGTATGCAATATATAAGCAGTATTAACTTGTGTTTACACTTCACAATTATCTTGTGTTCACAGTACTGTGTTCCTTGCCTAGTAATTCATACAGTGAAGGCAGTGAGGCAACACAACCCAGTGTTGTGCCTCATTTACTTTTTCCCAGTATTTCCTTTTATATTTGTGCTGATTTTGTATTAATTCATTTCCCATTTTACTGTGTGTTGAACATTCTTTTGTGCTAATTCTTGCTCTTTAGCCAGTGTCTAATTTCTTCTATCTCCACAGATAATAGTGACATTTATTTCCAATTTTTGTCAGCACAAGACCTTATTGCAAGAAAATTATCATAGTATTGTGCTTATTGATGTTGTTTTCCTGCACTATTGTAAGTGTTAATCTTTCTCTGTTTTGTATTTCATGTCCTTTATTTTTATTCATATTGTTCATATTTCATTGATCAAATTCACTCTTAGTGCAATTTTTAACTTTTTTTTTTTTTAAGTAAATCATTCTTTTGCTTGATCAGCAAATGTTTGCATAAGCTGCAATTAAGAATTAGTGTTCAATCAGTTCATTCCTTGATATTTTTTTGTTGTTCTTGTGAACTGCATTTTCTTGTGTGTGCAATTTTTTTTATTAATGCAGTATTGACTCATTCTGCAATGACTCTTGTGCAAGTATTGTGCTGCCATTAATTTTTTCTTTCAGAAAATTTTTATGTTGTGTTGTGTTGTGCAGTAATTTTTGATTAGTAATTGTTATTTGCAATATTGCTACAGTTTATTTCAGTGCAATATTCTGTGATTTCAGTTTTACATTTCTTGTGTTTTGTGCATAATATTTTATTCTTTGTGTCACCTTATTTTTTTTCGAGAATTGCTTTCCCAGTCTATTTTAATTTTGCACAAGATGTATTGATTCCATTTTATCATTTTTGATTGATTTATCATTTATTATTAAATTTCCTTGTTGAATTGAGAGTAAAGACAACTCACTGTCCCATTAATTCAAATTAAGGTAAATTTGAGTAAATTTGATCTGAGTAAAGTATAATATCTCTTGATTATCAAAGTGTTGCTTATCCAGTTGATTGTTTTATGTGAGCTTTCCTTGCTCTATAGTGTGACTTGGTCATTTTTCTTTACTTATGCAGAATAGTTAAGTATTTTCTTCCCATTTAAGTTTACTGTCTCGTGTGTTCCCCTAGTTATATTTTTTTTTTTTACTTTTTAAATTCTTATTTCGCATTTTGCAATCATGTCTCAAGTAATTTCGAGCGATGTCTCAGTACATTCTGCTAGTCCAAGCAATAATGAGTCAGTACAAAATTCGAGTAATCCTTTATTGAACAACAGACACACTTAGGCCTCGAGACTTCGGAACTTTAGTCGTGACCCTTATGATGCTATGCCTTTGTTCAATAGGGATCCAGACAACCTGGAAGCTTGGTTTACTGCTGTTCGTGCTAAAGCAAATGCCTCAGTGGATGGCCCCCCATCTCAGAGCTGTATCATTAGTATTGAAAAGGAGAGTCTAGCTCGTTCACCAGCCACCTCGAATGTCTTTAACTTGATCCGGATGAAGGACTTTCAGGGTTTCACCACGTGGAAAGATTATGAGCAATTAATACGTAACTATCTTACCCCAGTGAGAGTGACTGATCCATTCATTGTCCTTAAGAAACTAGTGTGCACAGTGCCTAGGTCAGAGGAATCGTTAAATGCATTCGCCCTTCGTTTAAATAACCTCATGTCCTCCTCCGTTAGAGCCGGACAAAATTCCAACTACCTTGTAGATGATGATAAACGAGCTCTTGAGGAGTTTGCCAAATTAACGGCTTTTGGAGTTTTTAAACAGTTAATGCCGCCTACCTCCATGTATGTGTATAACTCCAGTCCCCTAACAGCCCTCATCCACATGCGTGACATATGTCCCGAGGGAACCTTCCCCTACCGAAGGCCTACATCAGCTGTTATGATTAATTGTGCTACAACCAAAACTCCTGATCAAAATCACTCGCGGCCATCGTCCAAGGCTAGTGTCAAGAGTCATCATTCCCGTAGTGCTCGTAGTACATACAGTAACCATAGTCAAAGAGCCTGCTATAATTGTGGGTACCGTGGCCATATCGCAGTAAATTGTCCTGATAGCCACCCTAAGAGGCGTCGTAATGATGATGCGTACCAGTCTGATCTGCTGTACTGTACTTATCACAGAATCCATGGTCATGACACATCTGAGTGCAATGCTCTCCACAATCTTCATACTCTAGATCTTTCCGTGGCTGTTCCAACCACAGAACCAGGAGAGGAGGAAATAGAGGTCGTGGTTCTCAAACTAACCAGAACCAGTCTCATTCTTCCAATTTGAGGGAATTCGAGAGCCCCAGTCAACCCGTCCCATTGTGACAGTAGGTGATAATGAGTATCCCATCGCTGTTAGTAATTCCTTTGATGCTTTAAGTAGCCTTGAGACTGCCGATTCTGTAAATGATGTTTCTTCAACCGTCTTTGACAATGGTAATTTTGGGGATGACGTAGAACAAACCTTCTCTGAGGACGACTCTCCCTCTTGTTTGCATATTACTTCCACTGCAACGATAGGTCCTTTAGTGCAAGCCTCGGTTCATCAGAAGCCCGTTCATGTGTTCATGGACTCCGGTTCAGAAGTTAATATCATCAGGTCTAGTTTGTTTAAGGATAAGCAGTTACGACGTGTTCTTGTAGAACCAACTACTGTAACCTCCCTTAGTGGAGTAGCTGGTTCCCTCCTGCTTGTCTGAGGTCAGGCTTCCCTCACCTTTTCTATCCAAGGTCGAGACTTTACTGTTTCCTTCCTCGCTGTCGACCGGATTAGTTTCCCTGGTGATCTTCTACTTGGCTTTGCTTCCATGAGAGACTTACGTATTGTACTCAGCCCTTACCGATGGCAAGCCCAAATTGATGACTTGATTGTGCCATTTTGGGCTTATCAACTTGGATCCGAGATCTGCCATACTGCCGCAGAGTACGAAGCTCGGGTCAAGTCCTTCCAGGCCATTGCATTTTCCAGTAGTGTACCCAAGCGATCAGGCACTGGTAATTCTGTCACACCCATCTGTGTTCCACCTACACCTTCAGACATGCAAGATGGTGTTCAGTTGCCTCAGCTGTCCGAGGACGCTCAGACTGCCTTGAGTGCTCAGCCTATCCCTGCAATGTTTGCTAGTTCAAGTAGTAGTTTCTCCACAGGAGACGCCTTGTTGGAAAACGATTACTTGAAACTAGCAATGCCATCTCTTGTTGATGTCATGTGCCATCTACAGAAAGACGTTTCTGTCACGGCTAGTGCCCTCACTAGAGTGTCTGTTGTTGTTCCTAGTGTTCCAGATGGTGATGATGTCCTAGTTGACAGTGATTCGTGCAAAGTAAAGGGTTTATTTGTTGAGCCATCCTCACATGTTGTAAGAGAGAGTAAGATCCATTTATTTCTTGCTAACACTTCTGGTCACAGTGTTCGTCTCAGAGCAAATACCAATCTTGTTGACCTTGTTCACTATCCTTACCCTGTTCAGGTAGAGGATGAGTTGTCACCTGACCAGTGGGTCGGTGCTATTTCTACCAGGAAGACCTCATCCACTTCACTGGATCAATTCATTCCATTAGTTGAGGAGAAAGACTTAGCTCCCACTGACTTCCCAGACGAGGTCAAGTGCTTGTTGACTATGTTGAACAACGTCGTAAAGCCATTGCCTTACCAGGTGAGAAGATGGGTATAACAAACTTATTGTCCCATCGTATCCCACTTGAACCTGGTACTAGACCTATTTATATACCTGCATACAGAATGCCTCATTCCCAAGTTGCTGTCGCAGAAGAATTGATCAATCAAATGCTTGATGATGGAGTTATTGCACCTAGCAATTCACCCTGGAATGCACCCTTGATCCTAGTACCTAAGAAGGACGGTACTTGGCACCCAGTGATTGACTTTAGGAAGTTAAATGCGAAAACTATTCCAGATCGCTTCCCACTTCCTGTACTTGGTGGTCTTTTAGGCAACATCGGAGATAACAAAGTCTTTTCGACCCTGGACTTGTTACAAGGGTTTTGGCAAGTCCCTCTTCACGAGGACAGCCTAGAGCTAACTGCATTCTCCACTCCTACAGGTCATTATCACTTCCTCCATATGGCCTTTGGATTACAATCTTCTCCTATCATATTCTCGAGGCTAATGACCAACATCTTTAAGGTCTCATAGGTAATACACTTAGGTGTACTTAGATGACGTAATCGTCATGTCTGAAGACGTGGATACGCACTTGAAAAGACTTGATGTAGTACTTGGTAAGCTTGATGAAGCCAATTTAAAGATCAAACTGTCTAAATGTCAATTTTTCAGATCAGAAATTAAGTTTCTTGGTCACGTAGTCACTCCTAGAGGGGTTACGACTGACCAAAGTAAAGTAACTGCAGTACTAAATTTTCCAACTCCCAAAACTGCTGATGCCATAAGATCCTTTGTGGGCTTAGCAGGTTTTTATAGATCTTTCATTGCCAATTTTTCTTCCATAGCTGCTCCTCTAACTGAGTTGCTTAAGAAAGATGCTCCTTTCGTTTGGACCTTCTGTCAAGAAAGAGCATTCCAAACTCTAAAAGAAAGGCTAATTTCTGCTCTAATTTTGAAATTTCCAGGTTTTTCTAAGCCCTTCTATCTGACAACTGATGCTAGTTCAATTGGCATAGGTGCCGTACTAGCTCAGAAGACCGATGGCAAGTACAACGCAGTTGCATTTGCTAGCCGAGTCCTTACGAAGGCTGAACGTAATTATACAGTAACTGAGCAAGAAGCTTTAGCAATAGTATTATCTTTAAAGCACTTCCGAGACATTATTTATCAGTACTCTGTTCATGTCTTGACAGACCACACTCCACCGATACCTTTATTCCAGAACAAACAACCTACTGGAAGGTTAGCCAGATGGACCTTGACTATCCAAGAGTTCAATCCTACCTTTGAACACCTACCGGGCAAGTCAAATGTAGTCACAGATGTCTTATCGCGATACGTTAGTATAGTAACTGCAGACCCTCCATTTAGTGCTGAAGATGTAAAGAATGCTCAAAGAACAGATCCCATGTGGCCTGGTGAGATTCGATTCCTGCTCCAGGAAGATCTTATACTGACTGTGAAGCCACCAGCACCCATCAGTGACTTTGTCATGAACCAAGAATTACTGTATCGAACAGCCGAGTTGGGTACTCCAAGCAGAAGGATATACCAATTAGTAATTCCACAGTCACTAGTGAATGTAGCCTTATAGCTAGTTCACTATGTACCAGGTGTTGCGCACCCTGGTATTGATCGTTCAGTAAAACAAGCCAGAATTAAATACTTTTGGCCATGTATGGCAATTGATATTTCCGAGTATGTTAAGAAATGCAGTGTCTGTATGCAACATAAAGGAAATGTCAATGGTCCAAATCCTATCCAGGTGTATCCCACCACGAATGAACCATGGGAAAGAGTTGTCATGGATCTTTTAACCAATTTCCAATGTTCTCTCCAAGATAACTAGCATCTGTATGTTATGGTAGACCATTTCACCAGATATTATGAGTTAGTTCCTATTGCAGATAAGACTGCCGAGACAGTAGCTAAAGCGTTTAAAGAACGCATTATCTGCAGGCATACCACCCCTAAGTCCCTAGTAACAGATAATGGAGGTGAATTCTGTAATGAGATTCTTGAAAATTTGTGCACCTTGTACAAGATCTCTAAATCCACCATTGTTCTCATCATCCTGCCAGCAATGGGTTAGCGGAACGAACCAATAAGAAAGTACTTGATGTCTTGAGAGCCACTATCACTCCCAACAGTGAAACTTGGGATGAAGTTATACCTGAAGTGCAGTGTGCCATAAATTCTGCTTAAAATGTTTCGATAGGTAACACTCCAAATTATGCATTGTATGGTGTAGACAAGCATTTGCCTTATGAGTTGTTGTATTCCGCACTGAAACTCAATTACAACCCTGATGATTTCATAGCAACTCATACCAGCTTAGCTCAAAGTGTTTTTAGAAGAATCCGTGAAACACTTCATAAATCAACAGCAGAATTTACAAGTGTAACTAGTAACCATGCTAAGCCGACCAAAGTTAAAGTGGGTTCGAGAGTAATGCTGACTAACTTCAACAAAACATCCGCAATGCCTAAGCTCGATCAAAAGTTTGTTGGTCCTTATCAAGTAGTTGAACATATCAATGGCAGTAAGTATAAGGTTAGAGAAATTAGTACTGGTCAGTTAGTATACGATGTTGAGGATGATATTTCTACCCAGACTAATGTGACAGACACTGACAATCCTCCTGACTCTGTACCCTCTACCTCTAACACTCAATCAGATGATCAACCTGAATGTCATTATTCTTTGCATACACGACAAATAATGAGAAATTCCCAAGTATATTTTGTAGATACTTGTTCAGATCTCCCTCAGTCAAGGCATGTGTTAGCCATTGCAAAAGAATTCGATCCTCCAGAAATGATAACCATTCTGCATATATAAATCTTACCCTGCAGAGTTGGATTTAAATGTACATAGCCTGTATAATTAGATGTTCAAGTTGAGTGAAGTTGTGAACTGTGTGTTTTGTTAGTAGCTGATTAGTTCCAAAAAAAAAAAAAATTTTGTGTGTTAACGTTCCCTCCGAATTCTGAGATTTAGCAGTAATGATCTGTGCGTGTCTGGTCTGCCTTCGCTGTTAATTACTTTCACCTTTGTAAATATATATTCTTCCTCAGAATCCGAAGCGTGCATGAATACAGATTGATCGATCAATTCTATCTTTTATTATACTATGATTGTTCCTTAATTCGTAATGCATTACGATAACATCCATTCCAATGTTGTCCGTTCAACTGAGTATATTCTATAACCATTTCTGTGATTAGTTTTAAGTTACATATGACCTTGCCATTGCATAGAATCAACCCAGAGCCTGTTCAGCCTGTTGCATACGGTATGTCGAGACGACATACGTAACATGACCGAGCTGTCAGCATAGTTGCTGATCCCCTACATATATTGTATATGTTATCTGAGTATCATAGTACCATCCATATGTTTTATATAGACCCATTGCTAGACTTAGAGGCTAGCATGTGTGATGTCACGTGATGCCACATGTCAGCGTTAGACGCGCTGTCCCTTTCTCAGTCCATGGATAGACTTACAGTCGGTTACAGGCAGGCTGGGCTCCCCTCTCACATTCTGCTAATATAAGTGTTACCACCCAAGAAGTGTGTTTATCTCCAACCATCATATCTCCACGGAACCCTTTCAACACAGTAAGAGGCTAGTAACCCCTTACCTGGAGTTTATTTGGAGAGGGTTTTGGGGGTCAATGCCCCCGCGACTCGGCCTGAGACCAGGCCTCGTGGTGGATCAGGGTCTGATGAACCAAGCTGTTACTGTTGGCCGCACGCAAACTGACGTACAAACCACAGCCTGACTGGTCAGGTACTGACTTTAGGTGCCTGTCCAGTGCCTTCTTGAAGCCACGGGTCTATTGGTAATCCCCCTTATGTATGCTGGGAAGCAGCTGAACAATCTTTGGGCCCCTGTAGAAGTAGTATGTATATATATATATATATATATATATATATATATATATATATATATATATATAATATATATATATATATGTATATATATATATATATATATATATATATATATATATATATATATATATATATATATATATATATATATATATATATATATATATATATATATATAATATACGTTTGTTTATGCGTATATGTGTATATAACTTGGCCGAAAGAGAGGAATGTGGAGAAACAGAGAAGAATATAGTGAATAGGTGATGTGTTAAGGAAGGTTGGGGGGATTTGGGAGGTGAATGGTGGTATATAGTGAGAGCCGGAAATGAGGGGAGGGTTGACGAGATCTTAGTGTTAAGGACGTGAAGGTTTGGCCTCACTGGATTATTGAGGTGGAAGGAGGGGAAGGATGAAAGGAAGAAAGAGAACTGAAAGGATGAAAAGGAAGGAAGGAATAGGGCTTAGAC